TAGTAGATGTTGAGTAGACTTTTCTAGCTCCTGTTGTTTGTTAGATTAAGTTTGTCTTTTTTAGTTAATAGTGAATCGTAACTGATGGTTTGTCTGTTGTGTGATATCTCTTTGACTTGAGTAGTGGAAATTAATCGTTTCAGTTGCTATATGAACTTAAAATTTCAACGTGTATTTATCTTATTCTGAGTGAATTTCTTTTTATGTTGTTTAAAGGTATTTATCTTCCAACCTGTGCTTAAAAGTTTTAAAAGGATCCTCTAAGGAGTACTGTTTACCTCTAAGTGTACGCCGAGGCCTTGCTTGATGACGCCAACTTGTATGAAAGAGGATTTAAGAGAGAATCTAATAAGAGATGTAAGACCTATCCGAGGTTGTGAGTCAGAGCCCTGCTCGATGACGTTACCTGTGTGGAAGAAGTGTGAGAATCCACCAAGGATATAAAGACCTATCCGAGGTTGTGAGTCAGAGCCCTGCTCGATGACGTTAACCCTGTGTGGAAGAGGTCGGGAGAATCCACCAAGGATATAAGCCTAATTCGAGGTTGTGAGTTAGTAGCCCTGCTGGATCGACATTAACCCTGTGTGGAGAGGTCGGGAGAATCCACCGAAGGGATATAAAGACCTATCCGAGGTTTGTGAGTCAGAGTGCTCGATTGGACCGTAACCTGTGTGGAAGAGGTCGGATCAAATCCCCTGGGATTGATCAACTAACGATTGATACAATAATACATCGAACTGCTCAAAATTTAAAGTTCGGAAAACTAACAAAGTCTTACTGCTATTAAGATAGATACATTGCTCCGAACAGTTTTAAGTGGAGAGGAAACTAGTAAACAACCACAAGACCAAGTCCCGAAATTTCAAAGACAATATACAGTACGCCAAATAGACATACAATTCATTCTAAACGACGCACGATTACGATGCTCTGATAGTATTTGCGGAGGGTTCTCGAATTTCCAAGTTCGTAGCGAAGCTATCTTCCCTTCAGCATCCTTTAATTTGTAAAGTCCGCTGGCTTCAGCCATAGCCTGCTACTAGGTACGGACCTGTCCCAGTAGGGGGAGAATTTGTTTTCGTTGAGGCCTTTGCCTGCCGCCTCATGCTGATGCGTAGGACCAGATCTCCTACCGATATAATGGTCGTGGCTTCATCCTTCTGTTATAGTGACCGGGCAACTCTCTGGTGGAGGCAGCAACCATTAAGTATTGTCCCGTTCTTACTTCATCTGGAAGGAGTTCTAGGTTGTGCCTGAGTTTAATATTCGTGTTGGAAGTAGATATTGAAGTCGAAAGCTTGCACATCTATGACTGGGACTCCAATGTCGCTGGAATGAACAGCCTCTTACCAAACGCAGAGTTATACGGTGGTCTCTCCTGTTGGGTCCTTGATGTCGTACGATAGGCGCCAACGGACGTTTCGGGGAGCTCGTCAGCCGCATTGCCCCCCCGCTTCTTCTCCAGCCGTGTTTTTCAGTCCTTCGAATGGTCCGATTAGTGACTCTGTCTCGTCCATTAGTCTGAGGATTTAGCCACAGCCGTGTGTACTAGATGAATGTTGGAGATCTTTACAAGAATGTGGTAATCGACCCTTCCGGTATGAACTGTGTCCCGTTAAATCAAGTAATAATTCTTGCAGGAATGTGCAAAGGACAACTAAATGTCTCTTCAATAGAAACTGTTTGACAATTTGCTTCAGTGATCTTCGCTAGGGTTCTGCTTCTACCCACTTCGGAAATAGTCGACAGCTAATAATGCAGTGAATTCGACTGTCCGTGGCCATAAGGAAATGTCCGATTAAATGTCGATCGCCATTGGGCAAAAGGCCAGGGACTCTGAATGCTCGATTAATCTCTACGGCGGGTCAGAATGAGTGAGGTTGGCAAATGCAACTGCAATGTTACATTTTCGTAAAGTTCTAAATGCGTCATTGTTTTATCTCGTCGGCCAGTAGAACCCTTGTCTCAGGACCTTTTGGGCAGCGCCCTTCAACCAAATGTTCCACACGAAATTCCGGCAGTATGTAACTTCGCGCAAGTGACATAATTTGCCCTCCGAAGAGGAAAGGCATTCATGAAATGGTATGGCCGCGTGAAAGACCTTCGTTTGATATAAAACTCTCCGTTATATAATTGTGAGTTGGCTGCTTATCTCCGAAGTTCGTACTGCCATAATAATCTGGGTCTTCAGGGAGAGATCCTTCTTATAAAGGAGAGCTAGAATGAGATTCCGATCCAAGAAACTTCTATTTGAATTTATCTATTGATTGAAAGTACCCATGAGCCTTGACATGGCATCGGTGAAGTGGAATTCTCCTCAATTGAAGTTCCTTTTAAAACATCTCCCGTTTGTGAGGATTCGCTAGTTTTGGAGAGAGTGAGAGTTCTGCCTTTGTGTATTTTGCTCTCGAAGGATATGGATGCCCTGGATGCTTTGCTTTTTGAGCTAAAGGTCTTCTCTAACTGTCTGACCGTAATTGAGCCAAAATTGGGTTGTGATGTATCGAAATTCCCCTGCTACTTGATAGCAACCTTAGTCTATTTGGGAATCAGTGTGAACCAACTAAGTCTTTGGACCTCGCAATCAATTGCAAGCCTCAAATTCCAGCGCATCAAAGCTTCATATTCAGCAACATTATTTGTTGCTGGGAACTTCTTATTGTCTAAGCCGTATTCGAGTGTGGCTTTCTGTCGGGGAGATTACACTAAGATTCCATGCGCAGCACCAGCAATTCACAGATAGCTCACATCTACATACAATGTCCAGCAGAGGAGGTTAAGGATGACACATCGGGGAGATTCCTCGGATGTTACGGCTTAGTACATTCGACCACAAAATCGGCAAGCACCCTTGCTTGATGTCGGGTCTAGGTAGGGAACTGTATATGACTCTCCAAGTTTCTAACTGACCTTTGATTCAATCTTCCGGTTATGCCTCCGGTTTTGAAGATAATTTTTTCAGCGGTAAAGGTTTGTATAAACCCTGATTCGCATGTGCCTGAAAGTAAGGTCGTAACTTCCTGGCTGAGAAGACCAATGCCTTAAGGCTGTTGTTGTCTGGGCCAATGGATAAACGAATTTTCAACATCGAAGTACCGTTACTGATGTAAAGTCGGGACTGGGCGTTGAATTGAATCATCTATCTGAACCAAGACCGAACTTATAGTTGAGAAGAACGGCATAGTATAATACAAAATTTCTCCCTGGAATTGGCTTTTGAGAGCAGCGGTGCGTGAGGCTAGATAAGTTCCGGAGTTGTTGAAAGCTTCTTGGCGATGTGGGTATCAGTCCATTGGAATCTCCTGAGTTTACGAGCCACCTCTGAGAATCATTGAAGAAAGGCAAATAACTTTATCCTCCCGAACGATGGCTAGAAATCGAAGGAGAGTGCTGCAATTCCTTCATTCAGTCTCTGAACTTCTTTGATGTTTCTGGGGTATGCATGTCCCTTAGGGCCTGTCTTTTTCCGGGTTGGCCTCCATCCTGCGTGGGTAAGCGCATTGAAAGCCCCAAGAACTTTTCCTGAGGTGACTTCAAATGCACATTTGAGGGGTTTGAGGCGCATTGTTGTAGAATCGGAGGAGGGTTAAAATCATTCTTCAAATCTTGAGATATGCTGAGATTATCTCGAGGCTCTTCACCAGGCATAATCAGTCAACTAACTTCCATGGTAACGTCCAATAAGGTTCTTAAAACCTTATTCATAAGTCGTTTGGTAAGTTGCCCCTGCATTTTTGCAACCCGATGGCATTACGCAGGTACACTTAACCCTTTATTGCCGTTTGGAAAAGCATTGTGCCCTCCTCATCGGCGGGATCCATTTGTAATTTGGTTGTGATCGCGGAGATATGGCATCCATAAAGACTTAACATCTGATGTCCGGAGGTGGACGTCGATTAGCTGGGGTCTATTCGGGGGAGTGGGAAGCTGTCCCTTGGGCAAGCTTTTATTAGAGATCCGTAATAGTCCACAAGCACATTCTCCAAGTCTCAATTTGATTTTCCGAACCACACGACGTTGGCTAACCAAGAGGGTAGTGTACTTCCTTAATGAATCTTGCTTTTAAAAGCTTATCAACCTCTTGTTCGATTGCCAGTGACGTTTCTAGGGCGACGTTTCGTTTCTTTTGAAAATCACTGGTTTAAATGCTGGGTTGAATCTTCAGGGAGTGGCTAGATTATTTCAGGATTAATACCGAGGGCATATCTGCTGAACATCCATGCCGTTAATACGTCTTGGTTTGTACGTAGTAAAGTCTACAATATTCTTTTGTTCTCTGTATCTGAGAGTGAGTGATTCCGATCTGTTACTGTTTCTCGAGTGATGTGTTCTTTCTAGATAGGAGACACAGGTAGTATTTCTTCTACTCAGTGGGAGGCCTTTGTTAGGGGTATTCTTCTTTTATTTCTCGATAGATCGAAGTCTTTCGATGCTTTATGAGTAATTGATGTTTATTTGTGTGTCGATTGCCTGTGCCTAATCTGTATACGCATTGGATCGTTGCTTTATCTTTTTTGTTTGACTCCTCCTCGTACTGTTCCGATCTCCTGACAGGGTGTAGGAAACTTGGAGCTTTATTATGGGTATTTTGATAGAACAGCCTCGAAAACTTGTTTGAAGGGTGGTCTTCCAAGGAGTTGCGTTGTG